CCATAAGATTCCATCGGATTCCATAAGATTCCATCGGATTCCATAAGATTCCATCCAACTCCGTAAGATTCCATGATTCCGTAAGATTCCAGGATTCCAGGATTCCGTTTTTTCCCCCTTGATCTAGTGTCATTGTTGGTTGCACTGTGTAACTCTGGGTGGTGGCATTTATAGAGCGAACAGATCCAACTATTATCTTCTCCTCCTTGTGACTCAACGTGCGAGTAGAGTACAGTTCTAGTTGGATTCCACTTTGATCTGTGTTAATAACCTGGTCGGCTCCATACTTGGTAAAAGCTTGCGCACATCAACCACGAATTGATTGGCCGAAGTTGTGATCATTTCCTGACTTTCTGTTTGGTGCTTTATCATAGTCTATAAGAAACACGTAGTTTCATTAAGTTTGGTCTTAAAATATTTTCGAGGAAATTGAAGATTTTCAAAAACCGAGAGGTCTAAAACTCGTAACAGCCTCTTTTGCTTATTTTAATCTTCTTTTAGAATATACAGATTTCTTTCGCCGATTCATAAAAGCTTATCACAAATCTCTCACCTTGCACGAGATGATATTGTATTTGTATTTGAAGGTGTACAGCCAATAGCTTGAAGCCACGAAACTCTCTCAAGACTCATCCATGGCTTTTTTAAAAGCCTACCGACGAAGATCAATATCGTGCACCGGCAAGCCTTTTTCCCGAGCCCGTTTGAACATATCAAATACATGAGCATCAATTTTGTCGAGCTTCTGCTTCTTCGTTCCATGTTTCTCAAGATGATGACGAAATTGCGCGAGATAGTTTTGGTGCGGGATGCGTCAAAAGTGATGTTTCACTGTTTCCCATCGTCGCTTTCGTTTTCCAGTTGTTGGATTGATCTCATCATAAAAATTGACTGCCTTAGTCATGTAATCAAGTGAAAATTCTTTGCACAACGCGTTCTCCTCGTCCTCTTCGTCGCCATTCCAATCTGGATCGAACGCACCTTCAGCTTCATCTTTATTTTCATCTTTATACTCCACACCATTGATCAATTCGCCGTCGACCGACTCATGAGCGAAAGTTGTTTCGACTTCGGAGAAGTGCGAGTGACTGTTGACAATCGACTCAAGTACACCGCACAGCAGCTCGGCTACTTCACATTCACGATTTGTGATGGCAGTGGTGGTCGAAGTGTTCGAAAGAATGGAAGACAATAAGTCGATACTCGATCAGCGAAAACCTCTCCGACAATTGCTGGATTGATCATTTTGAAGTAGAGACCAGAAAAACTGATATCAACTGCTTGCTTGTATCTCACTTGTATATTGTATACAATCGAATGAAAAGAAAAACGGCGGCACAGTACAAATTACAGATCAAAGAGAACGAGAGAATGAAACTTGAAGAGCGTGAGAGAAAGAATGTGAGTATATAACATTTATCATCAAAACATGATGGCATGTCAGCGAAGAAAACGGAAAGTAATATAATCGATGGTGTCTCCTCGTCGCCCTTTCACCGAGTATTATTTTATGGTTCTTAACGATATCAACGATAAGATGAAGAATTTTGAACGCTCTATGAGTTGATGAACAACGAGTAGATGTGTTACTGATTAAATTTGATCTAACTCCTAATTCAGAGTAGGTTACATGAGCAGTGCGTGAACCTGAGAAATTTTTTACCCTAATACTCTACTATTCTCCAAAAACAATAATTTTCTATTTCACTCTATCGTTTTCTATGTATCTTGAGAATTCGATATCTCTGGTATAAAGGCGCGAGCGTACGAATCCTTTTGAGGTTTTTCATACCTCATCGAGATCTATCTATCGCCAAAAGATCGACCTTAAAGGACTTGAGCACCTAAATATGTTCCCTCGTAAGTACAAATATAAGAATTCAAATTGCTCCCTGACGGCGAATGGATATCATATTGTATTGTATTTTATTTCCTAAATGAAAGTTATTGGGACCGTATTTTCGTCTTATACGCATTTTATTTTCACTATTCTTAGTGAGCGTAAGTCACCGTACGTCGTCGTTTGCCATTATATGTGCATGAGCTTTATATTCTGATTAAATTATCTAATGTAGTGATTGACTCTAGAACTATACACCGTTTATACGAGAAATTGATATTAAAAAAGAAGAGTCGTCTGATAAATATCCGGCTTTGCTCAATGTACTGCTATCAAATGGAGTAAACAATGCTTTAGTTTAACTAAAGTAGTTGCTTCTTATTTAAAATTCAATACTTTATTCTTTATGGATTCAATATTTATAATGATTGTGAACGTAACACAACATTTCCAAGCCATTTTTGTATTATTTGATCTGATTTTACTAATTATTCAATTATTCGTCATCCATTATTACAACTAATGAATAAAAAAAGTCAATAATGGAGAATAATGAGCAGGATCAATATCTGTGTGGTTCATCAAATGAAATATATACTTTTAAATAATATTTTGTTTTTTTAGTTAATGATTGTGAAAATGGATCTGATAAACCAAGTATATGTCCACAACGACAATGTACATCAACACAATTTCAATGTGAAAATCAAAATTGTGAATCGATGTCATATATTTGTGACAGAAGGAGAAAATGTTTAGTTTTTTTGTTTTTATATTAGTTTTTTTTTTGAAGAGGAACGGATGATTGCAATAATAATTCAGATGGGCAATTTATCTTGAAAAAAAACTATGTGAATACTTTAGATAAAGCATATTTCGCATATCGTCGTATGTCAGAAACATTTCGTGGTAGTTCTAGTTCATGTTTACCGACAGTTAGTTTCGTTTTCTTGTTGAGAGGAGAAGGATGAATTTCGATGTTCGAATGATCGATGCATTTCATAAAAACGGTTTGAAATTAGTATTCAATAGAATCTGAGAATTTGCAGATATTTTCTTTATTAATTTTAGAGTATGCGATGAAGATTGTGGTAGAGATGATGCATTAACTTCTCGAACATTTCTGAATCGATACTTTAAATGTTCATCTGATCATTGTAGAAGTAATACAAGTCGTTGTGACTAAGAATTGAATTTTAATAAAATACTATGACTTTAGATAATGATTGTCTCAATTGCAAGTCATCAATAAAAAACAAAGAGAAAACCAATATATATTATATATATCCTTTATTTTTTAACCAATGTGTTTGCTATTAGATTTGTTTTCTTTTTATTTTTGTGAAATATGATCTAAAAGGAATGCCCAAAGGTATTAATAGAACTAGTCAATTGTTTACCAACGAAGGTGTAAGTCTTGGTTCAGGTAAGAAAAAAACTGGAATTGCTTAGTGTCTTCTCGTCTCATTCAGTATAACGAAGCGTAACAAATGAGTGATGATGAGAATAACATATATAAAGATTAATAAATAAATATGTCCCAAAATTGACAGAACAAAACAATTTTCCTACGTTTATACACCGAGGCTACATTTGTCAATGAACTACAGTTAATAGGTCGGATTATTACGTAATAGGTAATACTCATTTTTGATTCCGTACCAGTCAAATCTTAGCGTTAATGTTATTATACGATATTCAGTAATGAAAATTTGATTAGGAAAAATTATCTTTAATGTGTATTTTGCTTCTTTTTCTCAGATAGTTTAAATTCTAATAGAAAGTCTTTCATCACTTATACAAAATTATTCAATTATGCTTTATATCTTCGTAATATTTTACAAATCAAATAAATGATCTTCTAACATCCGAAGTAGATGAAATTCATCATCGTCTTTGAAATTCCACAATAAATACATAAAATTATGGAACATTTATTCAAGATTAACATGATGCTACTTTTATTTTTATTAATATATATAATCCCAATGTTCCATCGGATTGGTCAAAATCTTTATGCAGGTGATCTTATTAGTGGTTGTAGATGGATTTTACAAGAATGATGGGCGTTATGCAACTCAATTAAAAACTGCTACTGTTCAGTATATGCTTGGAATACCTTATTTTATTGATTATGAACATGAAGCTCTTGAGTATTCTAATGAACGTATTCGTTCGATTGAATCAGTTTATATGAATAGAGAGAATTGTACAACAATTAATTGATACCGATACGCATAATGCATCCAATTGATTGAACTGTTGATCTTTATCGAAATTGTGATTTTCAGTAGATATGTTTGCAAGTCATTTGTATTGGACTAATCATGAAAACCGTCTAATTGGAATATCTACACTTATCATCTATTAAGGGTATATTCAATTAGGCTAGGATGAACAAAGAAATTTGTAGAAAAGTAAAAGAAAAATTTTATTTTGTTTGTTTGTTTTTTGTAAATGTGAAACTCACACTTGAGACCACAATTCAAACAGGTAGTTGAACATATAATGAAGGTACATGTATGAAAACTCAAAGAAAAATAGAATAATGTTGCTAAACATGAAAGTGTTTTACAATGTTATAGTGTACACAGTAATATGTATTATTAATTGATATTCTTAACTTTGGTTCAATTCAATCGAAACATAAAGAAAACTAAGTGGAGCAGATAAATTTTCGATCTCGAACGAACAGACCTACTCTAAATATTTTCATCTATCAATACTAGATACTGTTGTAATGAAAATTTTTAAAGGATTTAAGTTTCAACTAACAAGAAAAATTCTTCAGATTAGGAAAAGCTTTTGAGTCTGCATTTACCCAGTGGTAAAGGATATATAGATTAAAACAGTCTCCGGAGAAACCATATTGAAATTAAGATTTAACCGATATTTTGACTTTTTAAAGAACTTTTCTCTGTGTGAATTCACTTTTTCCATCAACCCATCTTGCTTAGTTTCTGTCGAAAAACTGCCTGGATAAATATCTCAGTAACGTTGGTTGATACACGTAATTTCAGAAGTTTTTGATCGAGTTCTTCCAGGGCATACAACTTCTATAGTATACATGTTGTAACCGAAATCAATATATAACTGCTTGAGTTCTGAAATGCTGTGGATAAGCTAGTATTCAGGCTGAAGTTCGATAATAAGATTCTATCGAAAACTTGGGTCTGCACAGAAAAAAATGTGCGAGAAAGTCAATATCTCAGTCGAGTCTTAACATCAGCATGAATTCTTTACAGGGTGTGGGTTGTGGGTGTGTCAGCTCTCAAATGTA